ATCTTTTTCAAATAAAACAATTTTAATATTTTCTCACTTTTATATCTTAAACGTCCAGTGTACATAATTATGACATACATAATTACGACATACATTCAGAAAATCGTATTTTCCAACGGCCAATTTTATTCGGACAACAAATTTTCATTAGAAACGTCCTTTAAGACGGTCTTATAAATCACAACATTTTACTCCAATGGAATCGATATGCGGACCTTAAAGGGTGAACGCTAAAAATCTCGGCAAGAATATATAAAAAATGCGATCGAAGACGGGACGAGACTCTGCCTCTACGGAATTAAGTTTGTCTCGAAACAAAGAAGGCAGAGAAGTGCGCAGTATGCTATAAGATGACAAATTTCGTAATTCCTCCGGCTCTTAGAATCAAGTCGCGACAACACTTCCTGGCCGAGCGGTGGGAGTCCGATCGACGAAATGGAGTGCAACGAACCGCGATCGGCGACGAAAGGTGTCGCAGAGAGAGATTTTCGACAGACGCAATCGCCCGGAGCGAGCGAATTTCATCGCGAGTGGCTCGAACGCGGAAGGATTGCCAGGGCTGTTCTGAGGAACGTTGCGACAGGACGGCGCAATTGGGTCAGAGTGGTATAGTCCGGGAAGGTAGCCGACCAGCTAAGGTTTAAGCGATGCAGTAGCACTTAACTGTACACACGGACAATAGTCGCGGCCTGAAGGGACCGTCCCAGAAACGATGACGGGGCAAACAAAGGAACCACGTGTCGCGCGGTGTATGACCGCTATACAGGGTGTCTCCCAAACAATTCGCTTCGTCTTAGCTCGGCGACAAGTATTATGCGACGACGCACGCAATCTCCATAGGCAAATTCAATTAAGCACCATTACGTCTGCGCAATTTCGAAGTCTTCTTTGAAATGTTATGCGTCTCGTTGAGCGGGGGTTTCGAATGGAGCTTCCATTGAGAACTCAAGTCCACTCGAGTCCACAACAAGCCGAACCGGCTTAATTTGCCGCCGAAACTTCCTTCGTTAAAACGTCACAATCGCAGATACTGAACCGACCGCCTGTGATCATACTTAGCAGCGTTTCGTCGGAAGCAAGATCGACTCTGAAATTGGACGCGAACTTGGGAGAACCCTCTGTATAACGATATGTATTTCTCTCGCTATCTTATACATAGCTTATACAATGCACCGCGGCCGCGCGTACCGCAGAAGTTGAGATTGAAGGTGGAAGATTGCACGTTATTTCCCCGGTTTCTCCGAGACTCAGCAAATTATTCGCGGAGGGAATTACGCGAACGACACTTATGCAGCTCGTTTGACTCTTATTACTCATGCCCCGGTCTCGTATTGTCTCTGAGTGTATTCGCAATTACCTGACGCAGGTACGCGTGATAAGAGTGATTGACGCGATATTAAGCGAGAAAAAACGTTAATACGGATATCTCGTGCTTATGCGATTTTTCTGATTTTCAAAACAAAGTTCACCGTTTCCGCGATAACGGCTGATAATTTCAAATCCGATACATTGGTACATTTATCGTTGAACGGTAAATCAAAACGAGAGAACTCTACGCGATCTTCCACTTCTGCTAGCTTCGTTAAGCTTTACTCGGCGACGCAGTGTCCTTTGATCTCTCGGTGAGCAATGTTCAAGGAGAATTCTCGACCGAAAGGATCATCCGTTTACGCAGCAGACACGCGCAGAAGTTACGATCGCTCGCGCATAATGCCGGGGATATATCTCTCCGATTGGAGGATTTTAATAAGGCCAATTTGTAGCAGTCACTTCGCAACGGCTTCAACGAGGCGCGCGGTTGCGCGCAGCTCTCTCTCCGATATTGGGGTGAACTACTAATACAATAAATTTGAAAAGATCCGAGAACCCGCGCAGAACGGTTCGGCGAACAACCGGCAATACCGCGGAATAGCAAATTATGCACTCTCCGCTGGCACATTTCGAGTTTACACCTTTGGATCCTCGATTAGCTGAGAACGATAAAACGCCGCAGAGTTTTCACGAGCCAGCACGAGGTGTTGATAGGTCGTAATGCGCGAACACAGACACAAATTACTGGCTCGCATAAAATGCAACGTTATTTCCCTCAAGTTTAAATTGCTCTCGAGGTATTCTTCTTTTACTAAATGGAAAAACGAAAGTTGCTCGCGACAACCTAGCCATCTTGCGCAAGCATTCCAAATCACTTAGAAGCTATTACTACTAATTTATCGGTGTCACTTTTAATTTAGAGGCGCATTATTGCACGACACCGCCGGAATTATCTGAAATTAGCGCATTGCGTCAATCTGCACTCAAATGTCACTCGGATCAATTATGCTTCGAGGGGACCAATTTGCGCCACTTTCAAAATAAGCGTTCCGCGTTTTTCCTCCGGTTATTCCAGTTTGTATAGGCCGTTTCGTAAGAGTAAGCGGCAAATACGTTTTATGGAAGGCGGAAAATACGGCGCGGCGATTTCGTCCGAAACCTACCCGTTATTTCGGCGTGTGTGTGTGTGCGATTCAGTTTTACCAACTCGTAAATCGCGCGTGAACTTTCCGCGAAAGTTATAAACACCCCCGCACGCGAATTACGCACACAAAGGATGCCCGAGATTTGACGGCGAAACGTCAGTCGCCGTGAAACAAACGCGCGGTCGTAAAGGTGGAACGAAAAGAAAAACGAAAGAAGAAAAAAATCACACGACAATGTCAATGGAATTCTACAGCGAGATTTTATCGAGTTTAACCGTGAAATTTATGAACATTTTGCAAGCGCAAATATCAGAGCGAGAAAGGCGACAGACGGTTTTACACGCTCGAGATGGAGAGAGATGTGTGCACACGTGTGTTCTCGTTGTTAAACAAAAAGAAACGTTCAACGTGTTGAATTTTACGCTATTGCACTGAACACAACAAAAAAATACTTTGTACTTATATTAAAATCGATCCTTGTTAAAAAATTTTTGTGTTAAATTTTTTACACACCCGTGTGTTAATTTAATATATTGTGTTTATATTATTTTAACATTTTATATTATGTTGATATTCAAAATATATAAATATATATATAAAATAACATTTTATATCTCAGTGTCAATTAACGCATTTGTGTAAATGTTTTACATAATATTTATGTTACTTTTCAACATATTCATCTCGTGTTAAATTGAGACAAAAATTTGAGTAGACGATTTGGGACATTTGAAATATGTTAAATTTGACGTGAAAATTGTTTACTGTGTGAAGTTCGTGGCTCCGCGACGAAGAATATAATCTTGTTAAATAAAACAGACATCGTCGAATCTCACAATGGAGAGAGAGAACTGTATGGAAGAGTTCAATAAAGCCGAGTTCTCAGACAGAGAAAATTTACGGGGACAAATTTGACAGATACCCTTTTATCGCCGGACGAAACAGTTGTCTTATCTTTCACGCGCGTAATATGTTATCGACGTTGACAAATAATAACAATCGCGACGTTAAATTTAACTCGCGTCCGTGCTACACAATGGTATCCGTCGATAAGAACTGTGTGAGCGAGGTTCGAGATGAGTGAAGTTCAAATGATGCGCACTAAATGATTAATGATCGCGAGCCACGAGCATTTTGAGAGCGCTCCGGCTGCTCCGGCGTAGCGAGCGGCTAATTAGCACCTCGATGCAACGTGCTGTGGACGGAGTTTCACGGTTGTACGTAACAGGCGGAATTCATCGAGAAACCAAGAAAGGATATTTCGAAAAGCAATTAACAGTTCACGCACGAGCGTTTCGTTTTCTTTTGTGTTAAGATCAAAAGATCGCGTTTTCGTTTCTCTTCGGACTCGCCTTTACGATCGCGCGCGTTTTCTCGGCAGGTCAGATTCGCATTCGCATCCCACGCGGACGCCAAATCGTGGAATTCAAGGTTGTGCGTCTACGCGTAAAATATAATATTGTTTATGTCTAAGCGTAAATAATGTAAACAATACGTAATATATCATCTATATGCAGACTATAAGTAATCTATGAACTGTTGTGGAAGTGTTTATTTTTCTTAAGTCTAATTTTTATATTTCATTTGTGGTAAAAACTCACAGGTAAATTTAATATATAAAATGATAACATTTTGTATATCAATAGCATGTACACCAATTTTATACTACTATATAGATATATTAAGTATACCTAAATTGATTATACCTAACATAACCTAATCTAATTACAAAAAAAAATTGGTAAAATTATTTGATTTGAATATAATGGCATAATTTTAATATTTTATGATACCACGAAAACTCAATAGTGGATTAGGCGAACTTGATTTCGCATTGATAACAAAGGAAAATGAATATTATGCATATCTTATCTATTGCAAATATGAACTAAGGAACGCTGCCTTTTCTCATCTAAAAGCACACAGGTGAACTTAAATAATAAAACTTCTCTGTTATCTACACACATGTATATTTTATATCACTAAACTTTCTGAACAGTTTGTAAGGTAGATTTTATTGATATTCTTATTTAAATCGGCTGCATAATGCAATGAATGTTTAATCGTTTATTGCAACTTTTCAATTTTTTATGTGAAATATTTTCATAATTAATATCAAAATCGGATACATGTGTGATTTATTTTAAAGCTTAAAAATTAATTTATCCTTTCTCTTTGCATTATGCATGGAGAAAATAACGTAGTCACCATAAAATTTTGTAACGCTGGACCAAAATTATGATTAAAATTATTAAGTGTGTCGAAATTTTTAGTAATGCGTAGAATGAAATAAATCACTAAAAATTATAACACACATCATAGTTTCAGTTATAATTCCGGTATGGTTCAGCATTACAAAATTTCATGGTAATTTTTCTTACAATATTTTCTTCATGTGCTGTACGGTTTATTATATTTTACATAGTTTACATTGTATATATGAAGGAAGTTCGACTAAATATCACGTGGACACAATTTACAAATCTATGGCACAAACGCAGCCTCGGACAGAAGCGAGAATGTAGGTCGATGGTGATGACTTACCCTGTGAGGCGCCCGTAGAAGCCGATGCACGGCGGCGAGCTGGTTGATGAGCGGCAAGGTCGCGCTGAAGGTGTGATCGGGTGGGTTAACATCCGGATAGAGGGTCGCATAAGTGAACGGATCGACGTCGTTGAGGTACTGCACTTGGCACGTGAAAAACATCTGGCGATACATCTCTCTGCCCGCCGCCGATGGAGACGGCCGGGAGACTTTTCGTTCGCGATTCTTCGTTCCCCAAAAAGGATATCGCTCGCCCCCGCCCCCGCCCGCCCCCTCTCACGCGAGCGTGCGTGCACGCCGTGGCGCACTCACGCGATCCCGCGAACCGGTTCGTCGTACCCGCCGATTTATTTCGATTCGATCTGTCTGCTGGAACGAGAAAACCAAAGACGCACCTTTACTCGCTGTCTCCTCGTCGCTCAGCCGCGTTACGCTCGGCTCTCGGCCTTTAGACCTCGCCGAGACCTCGAAAGGTGCTGTCGATGTGTGACCGGCGGACTGCTCGGAGAAAAAAGGTGAGAACGATCGTCGGCTTTGCTCGAAATTTGCTCGCCCGATAATTGGAGCATACGGGGAATTTGGAAGATACTGAACGAGAAAAAGACGCTCGATTGGAGCTCAAATGGAACGTGTCGACGACACGAGGATTTCAAGTTTGAATCACCCGCTCGAACTTTCCTCTTACGTCCTGTTATTCCGTTTGGTTTCCCAGTCACAGTGTTAGATCACGACGAACGATCATACATGCACGCGCGTGTGTATGCGAGTGTGTGTGCTCGCCGATCTACGGATCCGTGTCGATCCACCAGTTCTTACGCTTTCATTTTCCGAGCGATTCGCCGATCGACCGTGCGGAGGTACTGAGGCACGTAGGAACACCGCGACAGAAAGCGCGCATAAAATACCCGAGAAAGTGGCAACGTTAGAATCGTAACGACCTATGACTGCAGTCATCATCGTTAATGCAACCGGTGTTCACGTCGTTTTTAGACGGACGTTGACCTTCGAGTTTCCTTTCACCCGCTTATCGATTTGTTAACCCAAAGGCAGAAAACCCAGCGGGAATGTTCACGTGGCTTCGTTCAAGACTTTCGCGAGTACTTAAGAAAAATTTATTATTTGACGCGTTTTTTTCCGCGTCTCGCGTATCTGCGAGATGTATATCTCTAACTTGTGCCTCTTTAATCAATTATTATCGGGAGATATAACGTTAGCCGTCACGCACTATTATATCGATAGCCTGGCTGGAACGGAGGCAATAGTCATTAAAATTCCATTCAATTTTCCGGTTTTTTTTTTTAATTAAAATAAAAAAATATTACCTCACGCTATCTCGTAAATAAGTGTAAAATTGCTAACTGCGTGCGTTACATAGAAAATTAAATGTCAAAGTATTAATAATCAAATCCTTAACAATCAATTCTTTCAGAATAGTCCGAGTATAATGAACACGTTTCTTCAAATTAGACGACTTATCGACACAATAGCTTTATCTCACCAGTTTTATAACCCTCGCGATCGCTCCGACCACCTAGCAGTTATCCAGGTATTAGTACCATTCACACATCCGCTGGTAGACTTTACATAAAGTTCGACGTCGTGGAATCTTGTAGCTACCTGACCTGGTAAAAACTTGCTTGTAGCTGACCAAACTTCAAAAATCGAAATCCCTAGTACTACGATCTTCTACACGGAGCGCAATACCGGACGCATTTTCTGCTTCAGCTGCAACGTGTCGCGTTATTATACCTGGTGCTCAAGAAGAACTCGGCACGGCCGGCTTCTGAAAATATGCGACGCATACCGGTTCTCACGCGTTCACACCGCCGCGTTATGTATCCTTTCTAAGTGCGAAAATGTTACATTATCAGGCAACGAATTTCCTTTAAATACGTCGAAGCGAAAAGAAACGGAGATATTTCCCCCGCGCGTTTCAGCCAAGACTCTCGCTATTTTATTTCACGACGCGTTCCGATACCCCGCCAGCGAGGAATGTAAATCGAATTGCGCAGCCGGCGCCTATGCGACTTGATCCTTATTCACGCATCGCGAAATTCCTCGTGCAGAGACCCGGGGAAAATCGGACACGAAATGAATTCGCAAACTGTCATTATCAGTGCATACCGACTCGTCTCGTCATCTTCGCTCTCGCATTGTTCTTAGTCGCAAATCGACCAGCTCTTCCTCGAACCGGCTCGAGAAAAGAGACGGAGAAAGGACAGATAAAGAGTGGGCGAGTGTGTGTGTGTGTGAGAGAGAGAAAGAGAGAGAAGGAAATATCGAGGAGTAGACGGAGAGGGATAGAGAGATGAACGAAAGGAGAGGAAGCGCAGTGCAGGATGGAAGGAGAGAGAGAAACGGGGACGAGGGGATGGCGAGGAGAAGAGGGAGTTAGAAGAGAAAACGAGTCTGCGCCATGCCACGAATGTAATCGCGGTTGTGGTCGACGAAAGATTCATGATCAAGATGCGATCGCGACGCGAGATCGAAGCCGCGAGGATTCCCAAACTCGCCCGAATCAACAAATCCTTTCGGAATGCTTTTCGGAGCCCCGTGCGTCTCTCGTGTGGCGTGTGTTGAAACGCCGCGCGGCGAGAATCGACTTTCGGAATATGATGATGTTTTAGCGCGCGGTATTTTATAGCGATGTATTTTCGTCCGTCGCGCCCACAGATGTGCGAATTTCAGAATGTGACGTATTTCGGGGCGTTTTGCAGCGCCGCATTTTGGAACGTCGTCTTCCCTAACTCGTCGAGAGCTCGATGTTCGAGCACCTCGGAGCACTTCGGACTCGCGCGTCCTGTGAGGCAGCTCTGATAACTCGATTTTTTCTCTCTCTCTCTCTCTCTCTCTCCTTCACGCCCGATCTTTTTTACCAGCGGCTCGACAATACTGTAATTTCAGGGCATTGCCAGCGAATCGCTCGAGGAAGATGACGAACGACTTTTCGAGCGGAGCCAGTGACGCGCCTGTTCCCGAGCGGACCGCATCGTCGCGATCATCGTCGAAAAGTTCGCACGAGGCAGATTCGAAGGTGAACGGCTGAAAAAAACGTGACGGAGCGGCGAACCGGACCTATCAGCCGTGCGCTAACTAACCTAACCTCCGAAATAAATAACGTCCTTCGGCGGGAGCGACCTGAGAGAACCTGTCGAGACGCGCGCGACATTCCAGAAAATTACTGATCCGGACTCCGAAACCGACCGTGCAAATGCTCCACGCGGAAATATTTCGACCGGATCGCGGCCGCGTTCGTCGAAACATGAACACGGTCTACGTGTATAACGTGCGACACGCAGAGGCGATCTCTTTTGAACAGGTTATCGATACAACGTATCGCGACAACAACGACAAAATATATTTATAAGCGCATGCTTCGCGGCACGAAATACACGCCTCGTAACGAAAACAAGAGACTTTCTGTGTTATGTTTACGAGCGTAGGATGCTTCGATTTCACGTTCGGGTAAATATCATTGTTCCCTGCTTAAAGCAAGCTCGTTTAAAGTCGACATAGAGCAACCACTTCTGCGATCTATTATTAATAATTACTCACAGCGCTCGATCGTTCGAAGCGTCGAATTGCCGATCCTTGGATCACGGACAAACAAAAGCGACATATCGGGACAACGCGAGCGTGTTCGCGCGTACCGAATCTCCCCAGCGACTTGTGAATGAAAAATATCGTCCGTCCCTGCTTGTTTGTTTATCCGGCAATTTATCCCAACCATCCAGCATCATAACCTATACTCGACTCGTGCGTTTTACGTATGACGCCGTGCACCTCACCCCATGTTCTAACGAAGCTCCCGATTGGCCCGTGGTCCAAATCGAAAATTCGAAGTGACAAATCGGGTTCCTGCGTGCCTCCTGTCGCCAACTTCAGCGACTACGGTCGCACGGAGCCGTTGGAGGGTTCGCGAGAGCTCCGTGCGGCTTTCGAGTCTCTTCGAGGCGAGAAGGAAAGGCCAGCCGGGAAGCGGCGGCCAGGTTAGTCCGGCGTTGCGCGAGATGAAAGTGCGCGTGCTTCGGAGCAACCTGCGGAGCGCGGAGTCTGCGCGAGGAAGGAAGTACTCACCTTTCGGGCGACACGCGCGTGCCTCCGACGCGCTGACAACGAAAACGCCTGCCTCCTCCGTGCCGGGAACGCGTGGCGCGCGCGGGAATCACGGCCGCTGGAGAAGCTGGAGCACGGGCGTGAGACGGCGCGTTGGACAGGTAGTGAAGCGGGGAATAAGAGAGGGGGCGAGACGACGCGAATACACGTATATACGTTCACACGCGACAGGCAACAACGTGCCTTACCTCGAGAGCGGACGCGGCGACACTGAACGCGCTGCGGACACTTGTCGTCGCGCGGCCGACAGTGCCGCCCCCGCGCGGTCGAACCCCTCTCTCGTTCGTCGGCGGCGCGCAACCCTGAATCGCACAGGTGCTTCAAATCGGACGTGATTTCCGAAGACGGTGAACTTACGATTCTTCGGCACTTTATCATACGGATGCAGCACGTACGGTATTCCGCGAGCCATCGTCCGTCGCGAACGTGACAGGTGAGAGGTTTCATTTTCGATCGGTAGAAAGCGTCTCTCTACGAACCGGCAAAATAGGTTACTTTTTAACTGTGCGCGTTATTGACTTTTTATTGACCGACTGTTCAAAGGAACAGGAAAGATGTGTCAAATCAGTTATCTGTGCGATGGCTTTGCTCCTGATAACACAATTTATCGACCCAATATTGGTTATAATGACATTCATTGGATGAATATTGCTCAATATAAAGCTAACCAAACAGCTAAAGAGATGAATCTGTTATCATGCTCTGCTAGCAAATCCTGTTAAATTTCTGCTAGCAAGCTGTTGATAAAATTTGCAGCAGATATTGCGCAAAATCTGCTTCTACTGATTTGGTTATCTGGCTGGTTTTGTTTTGGGCAACGTTCGCTCAATGTATCTGCAATGAGAATGCCAATATAACTAATATATCACCACATAATATATGTATACCACGTAATGTGTCACATAAATGAATTATGCTACTAGGGACGCTGATGTTCAAAGATGAAAAATATGTTCTGTTATAAAAGGCTAGTAATCTAACCAATAATTTCTGTGGAATAATAACGCTATATTTTAAGGTTATCTTGCCGAAACTTAAGAATTGCCGACGAATGATCTCGTTACATTAATCTATGTTCAGAATGCAAGGCCAAGAAAAAAGGCCATTGATTCGTTTATGATTGATTAAAAATGTTTTGCATTTTATCAGAACTGCATATAAACACTTCGATCGATTCTAGCTTTCGCGTGTGTGTGAATCAGTGCTATAAGTAGGTCGCATATATTAATGAGAACCGTATCATACGATACATACGATACAGAAGTATTCGTAAATAATTCATCGACCAGCTCTCGAGCGTTGTGCAAAAGTCACTTATATTTTCACGAGCTGCTATAGAGTTGCACGGCAGCGTTAGCACCCTCCCGCACAATGAACCTCCCATCACGTTTCTATAGACTCGGTATTCCCCTTTGTGCCATTCGTGATCCCTATGGGGACTCGTTGTAGTACGCAGTCAGCGATATACGTACACACACACAGTCGCGTTTATGGTTTCATCTTTCGTATCGCGCTGGCTGATTATTTTTTCACCGCACAATTACCATCTCAGCCGTTCCATTTGTTTCCTTCTCGGCGGGTCGTTCTCCCGCACCGCACAATCCCTCGAGATATTCTCGGCTTTCAGAATTGATTTAAGAGTCGAAATCTAGAAAACTCGGCTGAAATAATACGGAGCATCTCTAATAATTTATAGAAAAATTGAAGCGAAAACAGTATAACAACAGTATAACAACAGTATAACAAAATTTTACACTGAGACATGATAATTTGATGAATATTTTACATTATATTCTGTCTCCTACACGGAAAAAATTAATCTTAAATTAATGATAAATATTCTTATGTATAAGCAAGAATGTGATAATCTTAAAAGATTTTTAGTATTGATTTGATTAAATCTGTATTGATGCTAGTATTAGTAGCAGTAAATTCGGGACTAAAAATCTTCTAAGAATATTCTTGCTTATTTATTAGAATACCTATAATTGATTTAAAATTATTTTTTATGTATAATTGCTACATTGATAATGTAATGTAATGTAATAATCATACTTACTTAATCCAAGTAAAATAATTATTCCAATACTCCTTAGTAAATATTTACTTCAATATAGTACTTTTTTTTTACAGCGTGGAATCTTCAAAATATAATAAAAGAGAACCACGAAGATTGTTCTTAGGTTCGCTTTAATTTCCAATGGCACGAATTATATGAGTTTTCGATTTCGCATTCAATATTATAAAACTCGACATAACGTTAACGAGAGCTACAACGACGTGAGTAATGGTTAACTGACACGCAATATACGCGCGCAGGGCGACGCAAACACTCGAGAGCGAGCGAGGTTCCTTTGTTGGCGCTGCCTTTGCTAGCAATGCGAAAAAGTGCATGAGGGTGGCGCGAGAAGGGAGAGCGAGGGTCTCTTTCGTACATCCCTCGCGAGAAACAATAATGTCCCGCGCACTTCCACTTCTCTTGATCTCGCACACCCCCTCGTAGGTCTTTGTTAACAGACTTTTACGGCATACGTGCCGACCTATACAACATCCGTGCGGCACAACTGTCGCCAGAGGTATCGCGCGCGAGAACGAACGTATTGAAATAGGGAATACGGATGAATGCATAACTCGCGAAAAGAACGGGATGCGAAGCGTGTCCTCTTTGCGACGCGACACTCGTCAGCAAATTCATTGCGTCTATCTGAGAGAATATTCGTCGCAAATAATAAATGTCCATTCAAAATAACTCCTGTGTGAGATCTTCTTAATTTAATTGAGTTCACTTCACTTTGTCTTGGTATTAACTTGAACACTTTTTACCAAAAATATCTTTTCAAATGGGATTAATTAAGAAATAATCTACGGGATAGTAGAATTACATTTAGTGTACAATTTATTACGTTTAAGAAAACAGTCCCTTGAAAGAAGATGTGTATTCTCTTCAATGTTATTACTCATTTCATTTTATTTAATATTTTGCATCATAATATTTAGAAACGTGTTTAATTATGATTCACTTAATTTAAATATTATATTTACTTTAATTTAATATTATTATATTTCTCTCTCTTCTACATTTCGTTGTTATATTTATTTTGACCTCAATATTGTTTTCGGTTCATAATACCGAAAGCTTTATTGATTATAACAGCAAAACAAACGAATATCTAACACCGTATTGGATGATTACAGAAACAAAAATTATAAATATCAACATGCAATAACATGATGAAACTTACCGGTATGTAGCCGTCGGGTTGAATCCTTTCCTTATCCCTGAAAGCAGAAAAATGTCATTAGTTCGATGATGGTAATTTGTTCGATGACATCATTCAAAATGTATATAATCTGCATAAGTTGAATTATGCACGCGTAACAGAATATGTTCGTCACTTATAAATGCCTGCCAAATCTATAATTCAATTCCCGTTACGAAACGTACCGGTTCCTTCGTTGAATCATCGGTGTTTTCGGCGTACTATCGTGAATGATCACCTGGGTCGCCTCTATTTCTTCGCACTCCGAGCTGTCTTCGGGAGAATCTGCAACAAGAACGTATATCCTAAAATCTCCGCACGATTTTCTGCCATTCTAACTTATCGCAACAAACACGGAATTATGAAAAGAACGTTGACAAACGAGATCAATCAGCCGAAGCATTGTCGAGTTCATCTTTTCGAACGCTCGCACGAAATTTCCAACGAAGATTTTCATTCTTCGCAGACTTATTTCGATATTCCGAGTAGTGAATTTTATTCTTGTTTCTTTTCGTTCGTCAGATTTGAAAGGGAAAATTTAGTATAACAGATTTAACCTGACCCGTTTCGCTGAGCTGTATTCGATACGTCGGATTATCCGGCTGATACGATGTAAGCCGGGACACGATAGTATCGATCGCTAAGTGACGCTAAATTCATTCCCAACTCACCCTCTTCGACGCGTTCCTGTTTACGAACGCGGGAGAGAACAGGGCTGTGGCACGGGATGGCTGTATCGCCGAGCACATCATCGATGTTAGTGTGCTGGCTGATGAACAACGGCAACGTGGAGGGTCGTTTCCTTGGTGACAATCTTCGTGGTGTCGGTTGCACATTGTCGTAAGGCGAGTCCCGTCCGCCGTAATTGTCCGGCGGGTCTGGTGGATTCTCGACCTGCGGTGGAGATAACGAACTCGTGTGTTATGTAATTTCTCTCTGTCCTTTCATCATTTCGTCGAGCCATCGAAAGCCCGAGATTAATGGATTTTAATCTTATCGTCTCTGTGAACGGTACGTCGTACCTTGGTCATTTTATCGACGCGACCCGATCAGACCTCGCGAATTTATCTCTCTTTCGCCCGGGTTACTTTAATCTTTCGCGGATTTATCGGATTAAAGCGCGGTTATATATTGTCGGTACGGGGCCTCGGGTCTACGTAAGATGGATGCCGCCACGATATGACGATCATCGTTCTTACCCCTTCTGGACTCGCGCGATCTCCCAACGGCTCCTCGGGCGGTGGAGGCGGAAACTCGATAGGGAATCTGGAGAGGCTCCTCTTGACACACGCCTGAGGTTCAAGGTTAACGCCGATATCGATCTTTTCGTACGATTCGGAGGAGTCGGAAGTGCTGTTGGAAGTTTCCATGGGGATCCTGACGACCCCGTCAGGAACATTCGAGCAACTGTCCATCCACCATGCCTTCTCACCGGATTCGATGTGGCGGATTTTGTTAAGCGGCTTCGCGGAGTAAAGGGTCTCGTTATCGACAGAGCCATCAGGCTTGTCGGCGCTTTGGCTGTCGGGAGACGCCACGGGGATGACCTCGACGCCCTCCGGGACGTTCTCGGGGTCGTCGCTCATCCACCACGCTCGTTCGCCGGACTGCTGATGTCGGATTCGATTTCGCCGATCGGCAGATCGGAAACTGCCGCGAGTGGAGCCTCGTCTCGAAAGGGAAGATGCCGACGAGGGCGATTTTTTCGTTTCCTCCGACGGGACCTCGTCCAACCACCAGCCGCGCTCTTCTGACTCTTGTCGCCAGACTTTAAACTTGTATTTCCCTGTCGGACAAATGAATGAGTACAAAATAACGGGAGGAAATATTTGAAAGGATTTCTAGGATCTCTCACACTTTAGAAGTAATTCACAAGCAAGAAGAGCAGCGTTAATGTTCCAACGTTGCAGAAGTCGGAGATATACGAGAATCAACTTACCATCGTCCGGCAAGACTGTACTGATCGTCGTATCCTGACTAACGTCATCGTTCCATGGACTAGCCCTTTCAACTCCCGAAGGCACGTTATCGGAATTAGAGTCCAGCCACCAGGGTCTCTCTCCGGAAGACTGACGTTGAATTCTCGCGTTTCCTCTCGTCCCGTCGCTCTTCTCGGAGTTGGTGAAACTAGGGGCTTTCGACAGACTGTGACCGATCGATCTCGATGATGACAGTGGTTGTCCCGACTTGTTACTGACTTCGTAGTTCTCGTCGTTGGAGTCGACCCACCCGCCCGACTTGCTCGTATCACCGGAGTCTTGACTTTTGCTCTTGAAAAAATTCGTCACCGGCGCCAGTGCCCTCATCAGAAAAGACTTGGCCTCTTCTGTCTTCACGGAACGATCGCTCTTCGATCTCGGACTCGAAGGTGGTCTGGGTGGTTTCTCCGACATCACGGATATCTCGTCGGCCGAGGACGCTAACACGCTCGTCCTCGACGAACCCGCGCTGATCTTACCTCTGGTCTCGCGCATGGGCGACTCCTCCGACGCTCGTCTTCTCCGCCTCGAACCCGGCCTGTCCACGCGTTCGTCGTTGTCCTCGCTACTGGAGGAATTCGCGGAGGTCGACCGACTGCTGCTGCTGGAACTCGACGTCCCAGACGGCCTCTTCGTCGTTCCGCAAGGTGACTTTGACCCACTTCTCGATTCCTCCCATCTCATCGGACCGTTCGAGTTACTACACCTTCCCGCCATCCCGGGCTTCGATCCTGCCGACGGAGTTCTCAATCTCGATCGACCAGGCTCGATCGAGGTCGAGGAGACCGAAGAGCCGATCCGGGGAACGTGTTCCGATGTCGCCTCGGAGTCCTGCGAGTCCGCGGAGTTGATTCTCTGGCTCTTCTTCCTTCTCGCGTACTTGGAGCGCGACGGGTCGCCGTTCTCCATGTTCAAGGTCGACTTGCGGAAGTCCTTGTTCACGTACTTCGCTGCCACGATGCACTTCGGCGTGGCGGCGGTCGTAGTATCATTCTTCGGCACAGGTGGTTTGCCGCGAGCGTCCGGCGAACCGCCTTGCCGTAGATTCACTGACGGCGAGGAACTCGCGCTGCCTGTTGACTTGCCGGAGGACGATGGCGGCGTCGTCGCCTTTATTTTTACACTTTGACTCGCCACCGAACTGGCTGGCAACGATTTCGATTTGCCAATTGGCATGTTCGCAGAGGATGATCCGTCTGACGAGCCGGTACGCGTCATTTGACGCGATGTGTTCTTCGTCGATGCGCTCCGTGACTGCGGTGTCGACGCCGAAGAACGACTATGCGACGTGCCGCTTTCAAGTAAAAAAAAATATCGATTACGCAAGGCGATATATAAATATCCGAAAGATTAACACCTACGAGCTACGTAAAATTAGTCCGGGGAGTTTTTCGTACGAGCTAAAAATACAATTATGTCCTACGCGCGTCGCGATCACGTCGCTTCGATTTCAATTCTCTAGCGAAGGTGGTAATCGATATAAAACGAACGTTTTCTTCTATCGCGTTTCTCATTTGCTCGTGTCAAATAATTATTTCATTACGGAGCTAATTCACGTACCTCGACGCGGAATCTTTTCTTTGCGAAGCGTCATGCTTCCGAGAGACGACTTCTTCATTTTGGTCCTGACAGAATCCTTCCACAATTCGAGGTGATTCCTCGGTCCTGGAGGAGGAACTGACGTCGGATTTCGGCGTGGATCCCCTCCTCTCGTATATTTCGGGCTTCGGCGATGCTGTGTCGGACTTCGAGGAACATTTGAGGACTTTCATTTCACTCTTGGGCGAACTACGCCCCAGTCGCGGAATGGACGGTCTTCTCTGGTTGGTACACTCGTCGCATCTCGACACAGGACTCTGCCTGTCCTTGTTTCGATCCTCGTAGCAGCCGTGGCTCTCCCGGCAATCTTGCCTCGTCGAATCCTCTTTGCGCTGAAACGCGCGATCCTGGCTGGAAGTTCTGGAATTACCGGGACTCCGGTTGATTTCGGTCTTGCGTGCGTTGTAACAGCACTGCTCGCTACTCCGTACTTTGTCTTTGCTCGCTTCTTTATTCGCACCGCGTGCGTCTTGACCACACGATGGCCTCGCGTCTTCATTGGACGCTGATGAGTTCTCGTTACCGGGCCGCGCGCAATTCATCCCGCTGAGAACTTTCTCGGTCTGGCTTCTGTTACCGGAACTATGAGTTTCCTGACTAGAGGTCGACGATTCCTTGGCAGCGAACTCGTGCCGCGTGGCTTCGTTCGTCCTATACGTGAAACTGTTGAGTCTGGACGAGCTCGTGTTACCGAACCCTCTGGACGAATACACAGACGAACCTCCAGCCGGTGTCGCACCCGACGACGAGTACTTGTCGAGGTACGTCGACCAGGAAGGCGCGCCAGATACTCTGTTGCTGCTGCTGAATCTCGAAAACCTCGACGTCTCTTCGCCTCGATCGCACTGTGTCTCTTTGTTTAGGGTATCCGGCGGTTCTCGTAGTCGAGTCACTTCCTTTTGATGAACGATACCGATTTCCGCCCGCCTGTTCCTCACGTAAGACGAGGAAGCCGGAGGTGTCGGCGAAGTGCCGCGAGTCACGATCGTCAGCGTCACGAAATCATCGTCGGCGAGTCGATTGTCACTTTTGTCGCCCTCTATTCTGCTCAATTTCTTCGGCGACTCGTAGTTACCGTCCTCGTCAGACTTGGTAGCGAGCTGCCTGGATTCCTCCTCGTCTTTCGGATTAGTCGACTTACCGCTCGAGCCTCGATATCTGTCCGCTCCAGAGTAGCTTACGGCAGGCGTTCGCTCGTTACCGCTTCGCGATGGGAGAAACCGCGAACCAGCTGTCGAGCCAAATCTCGTCGAGATTGTGGCCGAGCTCGATTCGGACGTGCCTGAAAAGTGGAGCTCTTTTAAAATTAATTGTTCGTTCGCGCCAGATCCGACGTGTCGGGAGACGCGCATTGTGAGATGCGCGAGTTGGAGTGCTCGTTACTTAATCGAGACCTGGCATCATTAAGTGTACCGTTAGAATACGTGAATGTAGATTCGACTAATAGAAACAGATACGAGAATTTCAGCTGGGAAGCGTTATCCGCGACATCTATATCTCCAAATAATTAGAAAAAGTAAACCCGCTTATCGCCGGGAATTAGCATAGAAAATAACGATCGCAATGACTCGTATAATATCATAAAAGATTGCAAGAAGAGAAAAAGGAGAATATATACATATATATATATATATATATATTTGTTTTTTCTTCGTAATGCGCAATAAAATAATCTCACTCACTGGGCGAAGCGGCTGAACGGCCGTAAGACGGTGCTCTCGAATAGACCCTGAAGGAATTCGTTTTCCCGGCACCGGCCGCTTCCGGGCTGGGCTCACGCGATGCTCTCCCGGAATTGGGACGTAATCCTCTGTAGGAGACCGGCGGTGGATGGTCCTTCTTCTCAATTCTACCGTCGTTGCCATAACTTCGACCGAAATTCGATCCGGGATATGTGCTGGATCCGTAGCGCGATATTCCTTCGGGCTCTCTGCTCTTCTCCCGCGAAGCCGGCCGGTTATATCTGTCCAACACGGAAGACGGCCTCTCCGATGTTTTGCCAGCTGAGAAGGAGTATTTTTCGTAGAGAGACGACTTGCTGCCAGATAGCGGGCTCTTCGCCCTCGCGTCCTCGGGAGCCGGTCTTCCGGAATATAATCGACCTTTATCGGTATCTTTGGTACCTGCGATAAATCCAGGAATAGTTCCTTTGCATTCAGATCGCCCGGAAAAATAACGCGTGCATGATCCTTCGAAGATTCATTTCTATCAGAATCGACTTTTCGTTTTGTGTAAATGTATAGAAAATTTTGCAAAAATCGCAACGAAACATTGAACGTTACGAATATTTATGTATAAAAATTGATTATAAGTTGGGTTTTCTTTTCTTCGGCTGTATCTACAAATAATGTAAATGTTGCGAATTCTAAAGTTATTGTAGGCAGATAAATATCTCACATGAATATTTAAAAGTAGGTTTCTCCTCGAGCTTATCCTTTTTGAGAAAAGCACCACCAAAACTAGCAAGTACCCGTTCCTTGGCAGCAGCTCGAGCGGAACTCGATCCGACTCCGGAATAGCTGCTTCTACAGCTTGGCAGGTTACTTCCGCTGGAAGTATTCCTACCAAATGTGCTACCTATGCCGACGCTAGCTCTACTCCGATATGCTCCCGTATCGCCCTGTAAATCGTAAACGGGAGAGATTATGAAGCTCCAACCATCAATTATCTTGATTCTTATTACAAATGACATATGACTACAAATAAATTGCACTCAGTTTAAAGAACGATAAAAATATAAATGTCACGGTAATCATTTTCAAACAAACTTTTATTTTAACACTATTTATATATTTATTATAGAATGCATTGCTTATATTTTTATTATAAAGTATTAAATAATAATCTAAAGATTATAAATTCTGCCTCGTCCTTAAATTTTCAGAATAATTACCATCTTTATTTACATCTTTTTAAAAGAAAAACAAACTGACTCGAGTCTTTATATTCTTAATACATTAATAATGTTTCAATGATGTAACTAACCAGAAAACTTGTTTTTTTGTTTCAAATCTGATGGAACTTATGACTACTGTGAATGCAAATGCTGTACCGAAGGATTCGGTTCGGGCCAAATAGGATTGACTCGAAGGTAAGTTTATAGAATTCCCCTACTTTTGAATTTATTAATCCTTGGCGAACGAAAACTAGGTCATAGTTGTCGAAATAAAAATCGCCAAGTCACAACACAATCGCAAAAGGTTTACGCATTCATGTCTACGTGTTTTTCTAATTAGGTCATTAACTATTGTATCTAATCAGTAATGTTATATTTTTTGCTTCAGATCCGTAGCAGAATGTGGCCTACCTTGAATTTCCGGTATTTCAGTGAGTACAACAAAATGTTTAGAAATATTTAAAGTGGTGGATCTGTGATGGTTGATATTTACAAAAAATCATACGATTTATTTAGTTTATAGATTTTTTGCATGTATTAATTTTTTGCACTGGAAAGGAAAGTAAGGTCAGTCTCACTTCTTTGTTGTTCTAACAGAAAAGTAACAGTTTAAACGTAAAATCATTTCCACTGCACTATAATATAATATTTAGTACAAAATTGATTTTCCAATTATCCGTAACTATTTTTGCGATTACAATCATAAATAACAAGCGCCGTGGTATTCGGTTCACAATTTTTTCCACTCAATTCATAACTCGCGAGAATATTCCCGAAGTGCCGAAATTTACTTTTCGTCATGTACTTTTCGTTAAGTTGTTAAGCGCTGTCAAAACGATCGCGATCGCGAGTGCAGTAAAGTGAAGCGAAGTGAGTGATGTGCGACCAACATGGGACGACGGCTGGATGTTAAGGAGACTGGATGGATACGAAGCGACGCGATGAAATGTAGCGATAGATTTGGACGAGGCAGAACGTCGTTGGATATCACGCGAATTGGTGAGTGTATAGTTTGAACGCTCACGCAGTGTCATTTACGTAGTGCATGCAATATTTAGTATAAATCGCATTGATAGCCGATGAAAAGGTCACCGTGCTAAAATTGTACATTTCGATACTGAGAAATTGTTCGAAAAGTATTTTTGGAGATCGTTATCGCGCGTTTGTAGTTTCTAGCTTGATTAAGAAATCATTTTCCTGATAAGAATATATTCCAAGTGGAACATACATTTTAAATAACTATGAATATAAATGCAGATGAATTTAATTCGGAAAAAAGTTCACCGATGAGTTTGTTTTGTTGCTATTTAAACCATGCATTATTAATGTCGTTGCGTTTGTGACAAGATTTATTAGACGCTTCTTGCGTCTGCAGTAACGAGGAGGTTGGACGTTAAGCCAATAAGACACTCGCAAGAAATCAGTCTGTGGGTGTCCCAGGATATTAGCGATAATAAGGATAATGAAGATAATGCGTAGCCTGCACGACCGAGAAGGCGCGTCTGATGAATGTCTTCATTAAAACCTTTTTGCTCGATAACTAAAAATACATGCAATTTAAATGCATTGTCGTTCGTAAAAGTACATGGAAATAAATACGAATATTTACAAATTAAAGAAATATCAACTCGATGTGTACTGCAATTAAAAAGGAGAATCGTTTCATCAACAAAATCCGTTTAAATTATCTCTTTCGACTTTCTCGATAATATCGCTTACATAAAATTATAATAAACTTCTTGGACATTTTGACGCTAATTCTACGTTTGAAGAAAACTCGAAGTAATAAAAGATTGTTTATGATTAATATTAAAATCATGATTTTATGAATCGTCGTATCTAATTAGAAGCCGGATACGCAATTTTAAATGATTAAATGATTCAAGCAAAGTCAGTTCTCGTTTGACCGAGATGATTGGATATAATTCTACTTTTATTCCGCACCAATAGCTCCTCGTCGTTAATCGTTTAAGTGCAGCTCTAAGAATAACAGGGACAACCGAAGGAGAGGTGATGAAACGGAGCGAGGAATATTTCCACGAAGCCTAAATCGGGTTAATGCGCGTCATCCGTGGGTGTGCGAAAGCGAAAAATGATAATTCGTATAATTAACATAAGTTTGGCGAGCGGCCCCAGGGTACCGAAATAGATGGATCAACCTGGCCGCGGGAGTAATAACCTTTGCGTTTCTCACTCGTGCAACGGGTGACGCAAACAAAAACTCACGCTTATATCTAGAACAGACGTTTACATCTCGGCCTTTCTCGAAGCTTTTTTCTATCAGCGTCTGATAAACACAAAAATAACGACGAGCAGCGTGGAATGTAACAACCTCAATAGCTTCGATTTCATTTTCAATTCGCGGGAAAACGACGTTAGCGCGCGATAACGTGCTCTTAGAATAGCTTCCGGCCCATTTTCCATGCGAAGACTTCTGAAAAGTGCCATTCATTATTATGCTAACGGCATTCGGTGCGATAATGGAATTACGATAGTCACTTCTTAAGACCGCCGAAGCAATTTCTTCGGGAGAAAGCAACGCGTGACGTCGGAAACGATAAGTCCTTTCGTCGCGTTATATCAAACCTCATTATCACATCCGCGTCAATTTAAGCTACAAAACGCCCAATAACGCGCGTTCCCTTTTTATTCGAGCCAAAATTTAATCGACGATTATATCGAATTAATATTCTGTAATAAAATTATATTAGGCTAAGTTCGTCTAAGGCTAAGTTCATCTTGCGTGCTTTCGTGCTAAAAGCGTCGTTCTATCTTTATTCTCCATTACATGTTGGAAGAAGATAAAATGGTATTTTCAGCACAAAAGTGCCGATGCAAAATGAACTTAGCCTAAATACACATTGGTAACTTCAGGAGAATGGAGATGTGTGTGTATGATATGTCGTAATAAAGAATAATGGATCATTTTGTTTTCGAGTATTTTTTAATTAAAACACTTTTATACTTTTTTGCACATTTTCCTTTATATCCGAAGATGCGAATGAAATATATAAAAAAATTTTAATACTGAACATATTTTTGTATGAAATTATTAAAGAGTTTCTTTTAATATAACATACATAATATAATATATAGAATAAAATATCATAAAATAATATAGTAGACATAGAAATTCGATATATATTTATCAAAAGAAATATATATATAATTTTTCTTTTGTTGGTGAAATAGAATATTTTCCGAGCAAACGATACGAAATTAGCTGCCCAACAGGCATGTCCCACACCGTATGATAACGTCATCTCGTGTCAAATAGCGAGTGCTTCCGTCTCACGATCTAGCAGCATTGTTAATTAGACGATCTTGCCGCGGCAAAGTCAGACAAAGTCTAACGAACCATCAGCAATCTCCTCGTGAAACTCGCTTCTCTATTTTGACTTGATCGAACTGTGTCGCATGGGTATCTCTTTCCAAGCGAAACTTTGAGCTCTCCGCTTGATTGAAGAATGTAAAAATTTCGTTCGTGCGAAGCTTTCGGGGATGCAAATCAAGAGGAAAAGAATGAAGAGGGCAGTTTAGAATTTTTCATCGTGAACGCTATTCCTTAATTAAAGAGGGCGAAAAGTAGGGACGAGTAGTATAGCCGGATTTTTGCCTCCCTTCCCTTTGTCTTCCCGCGTAAATACTTAATGAAGAGTTTCCAGCTCGCCCAAGAGCTGTTTTGCGTTTCCACCAGCCTGTCGAGGAAGTTCGCCGAGAACAGTCCTCATCCGGGGGATAACGAAGAAGAGAGAACCTTCGTGATCCAGGCCGGCATGCCGCGAGCCGGAAAACGTAGCGCTTCCGGCGGGCGCGATCTTATCTCGAGATTCCTTAATTCCCCTACATCTTCTTTCTTTCGGGGCAGCGAACGAAGTAGAAGTCGGTCGATTGGTCACAGAAGAGGCGAAACGGCGGCCGCTCTCGTAGTAATCTCCGGCGATCTCTCGTGCGGTTAAAGGAAACGGAGTGTGAGAGGAAGAGAGGAATAAAGGGAAGGAATTGATACAAATGGTCCTCCCGCGAGCTCTTTCTCGCGCGTGCCGCGCGATCGATCCCCCCGGCGTCGATCGGCGATTTCTCGCGCCCGACCCGGGCGAAAATCCGTCAGCGGACGCGCCTTTTCGACAATGACAAGTCTGATCGCGGCCCGCCCGGTTCTTCCCCGCGACATCTCGTCGCAGCGCTGAGCTCGCCAAATTGAAAGCGACCCGATCAGGCGAATCTTCCGATATTGCTTTATCGCCCATAAAAATGGCTGTTTACGGCGTCCCCGCTGCTTCTGCCGCTCCGTCTGGGAACCGCCATCGGCTGCCAGATAAATCGCTCTGTTTCCGCCGCGAAAGCAATCGGCCGCGCGTGGTTTCCACCGGTTCCTCTTTTTACTCTCCTACCTTTTTTACGAGGCACACACGGAGAGGTAATGGAACGCCTCCGCGTTCGTAGAAACTTTCCCTCTTATCTCTATCGATGAGATCGAGAGTGGTCGCGAGAAAATGTTGCAAACCGCGCGCGCGGCTTTCTATCTCCCGTGGTCTCGTATCTTTTCATAGTAACTCACGGAGGGTACACGGTTTCTATGTTGCTTTGAAAATGTAACAGTCGCAACGCGCCCAACGGGACGATCTGTAAAAATCAATTCGACGTATGATCGTTGCGCGAGGTACAAATTCTCCACCACCAAGTGAAATCGCTCCTGTCGCGAGTCATATTCGCCCAGGAAG